GATTGTCACGCATGGACAACGGAATCTATTGTCAAACAAATAGTTCATGACAATATACATATTCTTGTCAATCTCAACGGTTATACCGCAGGAGATAGGAATCTTATATTTGCCGCTCGTCCAGCCCCGATTCAAGTAACTCACATGGGGTTTGCAAGCTCTTTAGGTGGTTTATGGTATGTTTAAATGTAGGGTTGTTAATTGAGTACACTATTGACTTCATTTTAATTGTAACACTTCAGAGTATTACTATTGTATTAAAATGGAATTAATGGTATAGCTCCATTAACAACCTAGTTAACCTAGTTAAAAGTTTTTTTTTTTTTATTTATTTAAATTAACTAATATAAATATTTTATTTATTATATTTATTATATTAGGACTGATTATAACATAGTCGATGAACATGTATGCCCGGAATCTCAGACCAGTGATTACCAATTTTGGAATAAAAGTCGTGATAATGACGGTGATTTATTGGGTGAAGTAGATCCTGAAGAGGATGATAAAAATTGGACATATCCAGAAAAGATAATTTATATGCCAACCACATATTTTATTAATGATCACAAACAGGGATTTTATGATGATAATCTTGCTAAAGGATACTATGATGATAATATTCCTGGATGTATACTTGCAAAAAATCATATAATAAGATGGTTTTTTGAAGAGGATCGTCGTTGGGATATGCGTAAACAACTTTTTCCAAATTTAACTGATGATTGGGTTATCTTTGCCAATTTTAATCAATTATATAAGGTATATTATCATTTAAATATTTTAAATAATATTATCAAATATAAATGTCTAATTATTGTTAATCATTTAATTGTTTTAGATTGACCCAGTAATTTTTAAATTATGGTTACGAATTTTGGAAAGAGTACCAAAATCTATTCTGTGGATATTAAACTTTCCAGAAGAAGGTGCAAAGAATCTTTTAGAAACTGCACGACAATGGGCAGGTCCAAATGTTGCAAGTCATATATATTTCACAGATGTAGCGGATAAAAAACAACATGTTATAAGGGGAAGAATAGCCGATTTAATTCTTGATACACCACAAGTAAATGCACACACGACAGCATGTGATATTCTTTGGTCTGGGACGCCGATGATTACACTTTCGGGACCTGAACACAAGATGTGTTCCAGAGTGGCATCCTCTATATGTAATGCGACAGGATTTGGTGATAAAATGATAGTACCTGATTATCAGGCGTATGAAGACAAGGCAGTAGAATACGCAAATTCAGTGGCATATAAATATTGGTTTGGATGTTTATTACCGGGAGCACAACAACGTCTTCATCGAAATGGTGTTGGTGAATTGATTGAATTGAGAAAAAATATATATTTAAACCGAGAAAACATTCGTCTTTTTGACACACAGCAAGCTGTTAAAGAGCTTGAAAAAGGATATGTTGATGCGTGGGTTCGTTGGGTGAATGATAACGAACGTAATATTCATATAAAGATATGAGGGTATATCGGTCATTTTTTTAATGGAATTCTAACAGTTATTTAATTTACTGAAAAAATTAGGCAAACGCGGAAATCGCATAATGGAAATTGACTTTTGAAATAGTTTTCAATATATTAGTTTATTTCTTTTTTTTTTTTTTTTTTTACTTTTAAATTGTAAATAGTAGATCAGACATCATTACGCATTATAAACGGTTAGATATTTAGATGTTAAAAAATGGTCTAATAATCTTAATAGTTTGAAAGCAATACAAGAGGTGATTACCAAAAAAAAAAATAGTACTATATTTTTTCTTTTTTTTCTTTTTTTTTTTTTTTTTTTACATGAAGAATATCGTACGCTATGGGATCACTTTGTTTTGTATTTTGGAATAACGTTAGAACTGCAGGATGATGTTACTTTTAGTGTAAATAATGTAAACGAATTATTAAAGACATTTGAAAAAAAAAAAGTCAATCATGATGATTGAAATCTATGTTCACGCACGTACGCATCGTATTTGAAACACTTATCATGTATTGTTTCCTGATTGAAGTCATCCATATTTAAATAATTGTTTTTGTTTAACAATCTGTTACTTTGTGTATTAAATATCACCCAATTAGTATCCTCGAATAAAAATTCTATTTCATAATACATGATTTCACATTGTAAATACTGAAATATACAGAATTATATAATGAACTGCTGAATG